CTGTTATAACTCTGCTGTCAGATAAGGCTATCAATTAAATATTAGTCCAGCAATGGTTTTTGGAATATGATCTTCAAAATGCTGGACTTGAATCATAAATTTGTCTTATGGAGTCTCTGGACAGATGGATTTGATGTGCCGCTACTGAATCAGTGCTATCTGAATGCATCCTGAGGCATCCAGTTCTCCTGGCAGGCTCTGAAGAACTCAATCATTAAGTATGATTTTTTAAATTTTTTTTTTCTTGAGTTGTATATCTAGAAAATTATTTTAATGCTATAATCGGTCATCAAGAAATACATAGCTTCATTAGCAATCCAATCTATGGGATGCCATATTCCTTTGCTATGCAAGAATTCTCATCTGTGCATTTTTTGGCACAAGGGGATACCCTCAAAACTGTTGAGATAATCCTCAGAAAGCTCCAGTTTGAGACAAGTCTTGAGGCACCACGTTTTTGCTTTGGCAATCCACTACAGCATTTTAGGAGGCAGATCAAAACTGCTTATATAAGCTAAAAAAGCTCCCCTCCCTTGCACGCCTGTGTGGCTGTGTTCTAATTAGAGCTTGGTGGATAATGAATAATTTATCCAAGATCTTTCACCTCCTTTGTTTGTAAATTGTCCACAATGAGATCGAGGTTTTCTTGAGAGTATTTCGTATTGGAAATTGCTCCTTGGGCCTCATTTATTTCCACTTTTCACCAGTTTCTACCTTTTCTTGTATCCTATATTTTCCTTTGCTTTTTTCTTTCTGGGCTCTAGCCACAGGCGATCTATATGTATCACCAAATACCTTTGTCCATGCTACATAGCGCTGCATTGTTTTCAGACTCTGCTCTTGCTATTTTTTGCCCTTAAACCTGTGGTGTCCAGACATGGGCAAAATGGATGTGAAACACTATCAGCTCAGAATGGGAATGCTTTGTGCTTGTTTTGTACTCAGTTTGTACACTCATAAATATGTCTGTAGGTGCAAGGAAAACGAAAAAAAAATCTTTTGTCGTTCACCTTGCTCTTTCATATTTAGCTGCTAAGGTACTGCAATGATTTTGCTAAAGCTGCTACATTTTTGCTTTATATTTTTCTTCTCTCGTCATATGATTCCTTTTTCCCAGTTTCCTAAATTTTCCTTTGTTTTTAATGCAACTACCATTTCTGTAAAGCCACATATTTGCCTGGGAAGGAATAGCAGTGACGATATGGCAATAGCAGTAGCTCATTTGTATTCTTTCAGATGCAGAAATGGCAGTCTGTATATTACTGAACTCCGATGCTGTGAGAGTTAGAGGTTCAACAGTTTATAGTTTCCCAGCCTGTTCCAGCTTTCTGAGACCCATTCAGATACTGTAACCCCCATGCACGGGGGATCTTCCACCAGTTCACAGAAATTCCAGGTTCAATGGCAATGCTAGGTATTAAATTTGGATCTAATGATTTTTATCACTTGGCACCAGCCCTGCTCGACCTGTCTTGATCACACAGACTCAGAAAACTCTCAGGTAGGCTGTATCCTTGGAAGCTTTGTTCTTCTCTTCTAACCTGGAATAAATCCCTTAATTGCAGGTTTGGACTCTGCAGAATGCCAGAGCTGCCAACACAATCATGTGTACATGGAGAGGAAACAGGCATGCTGCTATCCCTAGCAGAAAATAAATATGTCTAAAACCCACTTTGTAGGCTTAGGACACCTAACATCTTGGTCTATCATAAAGAGCATATTGGAAATCTCTCATGTGCCCTTACATCTTCTTAGCATCAATGTGGCTTTGAGAAAAAGGCTACCTCTTGTTTTTTATGGCAGCTATGGATCCTGCTTGGATACTGCAAATCTTTTGTTACTTTTGCTAGAAATACCTGGAAAACACTACTGAACGTGAGAGACCAAAGAGTGAAACACAATGATGTTTCCTTTTCAAGGGAAGTTGTTTCTTCAAGTAACAGATGACTGAAATCAAGAAACAAACCTGGAAGGAAACAGTATGCTAAAACAGTTTTAAAAGAGAGGAAAGAGGCAGATTTTAGATTGATTTCAAGGTATTGTTTATGGTTCAGAGCAGAACAGAGTAGTGTTAGCACCAATGTCACTCCAGGGAGGCTTAGAGAGGCCCTAGGTGATGTGTATGAAGAAGCCAGGGAGGCAGCCCTGTGCTGCCACAGGCTCCTCACTGGACAAATTGTAGGCAAAATGTGAAATATTGTTAAACTCTAAAATGGCAAGAAGAAAATAGAAGCTTCAGTCTGGGCTCTTATAAAATAGCAACGCTACTCATGCCACATTGAAGTCTCCTGCATCCAGTACTGAGAGGTTTTGGTCTTCCAGCTGGCGACTTTCTTTAGATTGCTTTGCAAGTGAAACTGAAACGCACAAAGCAAAATCCTGAAAAATCTGTCTGCTCCAAAAATAAGTATCTTAAATGCTGACAGCTTTATTGCTGTACAGCAGGTGGGGAAACCCTAGGAGAGATGACTTGCAAAAAACCCCATATTTGTTCCATTTTCTGTTCCTTTATTACAACCCTCCCTGAAAAACTAAATGATTCTTAAAAACTTGTTTCTCTGCTTTCTGTATTAGCAGCCCATCTAACTTTGCTTCCAGCTATGT